CCTGATGGTAGGTTGATATTTGCCTCACTAGTGAGTTCACGGCTGAAAAGTGGTGGCATTTTCTGAGGAGGCCGTGAACCTGGAGTGTAGAATATCATGCCTTCAAGGTGTCTCTGGCTTCTTCCAGCCTTCTCAGTTCTCTGAAGACGTGCTGTTAGGGAAAATCAGCAAAGAAAATATTCAGAAACAGTTGTGCTGTGCCACTGTCAAGAAAAATCAGGGCCTATTCATCCCTAGTAATCAAAAGTTAAGGAAGAAAACACACCCCATGAATACCCTGGCTGCTGGGGATGGGGCTCAATGGTGGCTTACTTGCCTGGAACATAGTGTTTCTGCACCAGCAACTCCTTCTGCAGGAGGCTCTCTTCCTGGGCTGTGGTCTGCTCCAGTTCCTGCTGGAAGTTTTCAAACCTAGGGGAGGAAGGCAGCTGGGGAACAAGCCTGGTGGGGACCTACCATGTCAGCTTTTGAGCCCCCACCAGCTCTACTCAGCTAGACAATTGAGCATTACCTTTCACCTGAGTTCATTCCTTGCTTCACCAAGGGAAAAGGGTCAGAGAGCACCTGGGCAGGATTTTTTTTCTCAGCTTTTAAAAACTGCTAGAAGTTGAACTGGTAAGTACATACTGTGCTGGATTAGAAAAAAACCCAGCATATTTCTCCAACAGTCCAAAGACATCATTTTGGAGAAATATCAGTATGTTAAAGTCTTAGGCACAGTTCAGGAAAGATATCCCTGGCCTTGATTAGATACCAGGTGAATGTGAACCTCCTGGAAAACTCTATGCCCGCCCTCTAGTGGAGCCTACACAGCAATGCAAAGAAGGCTCTGGTTATTCCTACAGCTTAAAACCCTGCATGGGATTAACTTGTCAGCTCCTACTCTGTTCATGACCATAGTAAATCTTCTCATGAGAAACTGATAAACACTGCAGAGAGCCTGCAATCAGCAGAAGTGTGCTTTATGCAGATTTGCAAAAGGTGGACACTTATCTCTAAACGTGATGTTCCTGATGGAAAAGATGCAGGGGACACACTTTCCTTCATGATCAATGATTCTCCTTTCCACGTTTCTGGCTGCCATAGGGATATTTTTGGGGAGATCTAATCTAAGAGATGAGATACTAGAGCATACAGGAGTTCTCAGAAAGGAATAAGGGGACACAGTCCCCATAAGACCAAAGAGAGAACATATTGCTTCCTGTTGACTGAGCCAGCAATGACACTCTGAGGCATTATTTCCCTGCCCGTGGCTGGCAGCTTTGCCAATTTACAAAACTGAAAAAGGATGGAGATCCAGGTACAGCGGACCTACTTGGATCCACCCACTTCTGGAAGCCTGGGCTCCTACCTCATCTGGGACACAGTGAAGTGATGCTGCAGCTTTACTGCCAAGTCCCTTTGCCTGGTGAACAGCTCCTTCTGCTTCATCAGGGACTGAAGATGTTCCTTAAGTCTTTGATGTTCCTGTTCATTAGAAGATTGTGTTTTTAGGGGAGGTTGTCCCCACCATGTACATAAACATGCATTCTCTCTGTCTCTCTCTGTCTCTGTCTCTGTCTCTGTCTCTCTCTCTCTCTCTCTAGCACACACATGCATGTGGATGCACACATACAAGCACACTACATTCCATCAACACTTAGTTTTCCAGATAACTCTTATGTAAGAAGAGATCACCTGGGATACTATGGCAAACAAAGTTACCTTTCATTAACCTACAACCTCTCTACCCATATTCCTGCCTGGAGGCAGGAAACACAGGATGCTTTGAGCACAAGGATGTGGAGAATATTGTGTACTTTTACTCCGATTTGATAATTTTTTTAGTTTATTTTTAGTTTATATGTGCAGATGTACAGTCTGCTTGTGTGTCTGTGTAACATGTGCATGCCTGGTGACCTGGGAGAAGAACTCAGTGGGTAGATAAGTCAATGCAGTGCTTGCCTTGAAAACCTGTACACAGACATGTGAACACCAGGGTTCCTTGATCTGCAATCTAAACTCTCCTAGCAAGTTCCCCAGTCTGTGCATTGAAGGCTTAGTTCCCCAGCACAGGACCACTGGATGGCAGTGGACCAGCCCCTTGCTCTCACTCAGTGCTTCCCAGTGCCTCCAAGGAAGGCAGCTTCCTCCTAAAGAAGCTCTCTGTACCACAGGTTGCCTCCATTTAGGCCCAAAGGAATGAGCTCAGAAAACTAGAAAATCTCTACAATCCGGAGTCTATAGTAACCTTTCCTCCAAGTAAGTTGATTGTGTCAGGGATTTCTTTGAGTAACAGAAGGTTGAATAACTCACAGCCAAATGACTACATATATTATTCCATACTTAACAATATCCCATGGACCACATTTTATGTTTGCACTCATCAGTAATGGGTATCTGAAGAGTTTCTAGTTGGGCTGTTCTGATGAGTCCTGCTGTATCCCTGTTTTCCCCTATTCTCTGTGGACACCTCTTTCCATTCTGGAATTAATGCTCCACCTGAAGTCTGTAGTTCCACTTTCTGAATAATTGCACATAGCTTCTCACAGGGCTGCCCCATTTTATACTACTAGCAATGTCTGAGAGTTCTCATTTCTCCCAACTCTCCATCAGGCTCAATTTAACTCAGTATGAAGAAGTTTGGAATAGAAGCAGATTCTGAGTGCTGCAGACACAACATGGAGTGGGTAGTTGAGAGTATGATGAGCCTAAGTGGTGCCCTAAGACAACCTCATCTCACACCTCAGCATGGCTGTGGGATTTCTGCTGGGCTGGGATGCAGCCACAAGCACCTCTGCCGTTCAGAATTTCTCTGAGAATAAAGTTCAGGCCAGCTCCAAAGGCAAGGTTAGCTGAACCAAAGTTAGGCAAAGGTGAATGGAAAATGGCAGCAAGCGATGAGGAGAAGAACAAAACAGGATGCAGGGACGTCATCAGTCACCAGCATCCTTTCACCCAGAGCTGAGAGAGACACAAACCTTTCTGGCCTTTCCTGCCTCTCAGTAGCCTCTCCCTCACCTTCATGGACCCCTTTACTTTGTTTTTCTCCAGAGGATTTCTTTGCATATAAATATAATTCTGCCTCTACAAATACCTGAAAAACTTTTAGCTTGCATCAGTTATGTGGCCTTTGGTGGTAGTTAGCTGTGTGGACATGCAGAAGGATGGGCAACAACATCTGTTCTTTGATGGAGGCAAAGTGGTACTAACCAGATTAGGCACAGTACTTTCTCATTGAAATCCATCTCCATCATTCTTAAAGATGTTCCATTCTTCCGTGAGAGAGTGAACATACCCACAGAAGCTCAAACACACATTCTCATTCCCCAAAGATACACATAGAGACAACACATACACACACACACA